CCATGCTTTCAGGAAGTAATGCCCGCTGTCAACGGTTACTAAGCAGTGATCTAACACACCACCAGCAGCAGCCACAGCCAACTTTTACAGACCCCCCCCCCCGCCCATACACACTAGCTGCTTTTCTTTCGCCTTGAGAAACATTCGCGTTTAGGTTAGTGTAAGAAACAATTGATTTTTAATTTTTTACATGCACCGTGAAAATCAATTATCTTGCATTTTTTTTAAATCAATGCTAAATAAATTTTCCGGTGGTAACTTCGATCAACCATACACCTAATAACCTCCAAGCTATGGCAATCAATGCAATAAGTCTTTGCGCACAAAGGCACAATAACCGCCAAACAGTTCTTCAAAAAAACCGAACCCGATTAGATAATATTTTCCCACGCAAACACGCCCAGTGCCACTAATAAATTATTAACATGGCTTGTTGAAGGTTTACAACATTCATTCCGTGATATAAGCCACCAATCGCTACAACCTTGCTCCTTATTACTTTGGAACTGCCCAGCTCACTACACTGCACGAAAACACTCATGTGCGCGGAGTATAGACTCCCGGACTGCCAGCTGGCACCGCGAAACGACTGGGCGGAAAATGAAACTGTACTACGCGAACAGTCGGTTACTACGGAAACAACTGACTCGCCGACTGAAATGCCAGAAAAGCCTACAGTGTTGGGCAGAGCCTACAAGTGTATGCGGACAAATTGACAATCTGTAGAAGCAGTGCCGCTATAGTGACTAGCTTTGTTATCCGGCGTTTGGCGACTCAGTGTTTGCTTCGTCTTGGCAATCGTGTGCTGCTGCGGCGTACGTAGCGATAGAATCAACCGACTGTTCGCGTATATCTCGGTAAACTGGCTGTATACGCCGCATTCCACCACGTCAGCAAGTGTTGCACGTGTCAGCACCTGTCGAGAATGACCTTCTTCGCGCCCACGCTGGAGAACGACCTTTGTCTCAGCCGGGGCAATACACCGGTGACTAGTGCCACTGGGTTAATACAATCGGCTTATGGTGCACCAGAATGGTTGGCAAAGGGTTGGCATCGATCTGCTATTTATCTTTAACAACGTGGGTGAACAGTGATGGCTCCGCCTGGCATGTCAATAATATTGTATATGAACATGCATGCTTCCACGCGCACATAATAAATCCTTTTTCGGGAAGAAATACGACAGAGTTCTTAAACGGGGAAGTCGGATAGCCATAGCTTCGTGTATACCGAATTCGCTGTATTTTGTAGCATACAAAAACCTTCTAAAATTGCTGGGGAACTGCCAAGAGACTGCTCTAATACTACCAAATTATTGTTGAAAAAAGGGAAGGCCGGACGTAACTTAATGTACGGACAACTGTAGTAAGAGGGGCAAACTATAGATAGTACACGGGTAGATCTATCGCATCCATGCATGCATCTGATGGCACATGAAGGAATACTGATGCAGCGTGTCATACAAATCTTGTGAGAACATACAGGTATGAATCGCTATACCGCACTGCATTAATATCAGTGCGTCCATCTTTCCCTGCTTCCCTGCCTAGCAATGGACACAACCAACTTGGTGTGTGGGGGGGGGGTAGGCAGACAATCTCGACTCAGCTTCCTGTGCGAATACGTGTCGCGTCTGCGCATGCAAATTGCTTCCTAATAAAACTAGGTAATTTCAGTAAAAGCACTAGATTACGCCGCGACGAGAAGTGCGCATTTTCAGCGGCAAGAAGTAATTTAACAGCCCATTGAAACCGACGCTGAGGCGGGCGGGCGGGCAGATCCTTCCCGGAACGCACTCGCATGCAGCGCATCAAAGCGATGGCACCATAATCGTATGCCAGATGCCACAATACGGCGGCAAAATCGCCCCGCAAACGCACAATACACGCATCGAATTCCCGCCGTGCGCGCACGACAGAAATGACGAGTTCAAATGAGATCGGAAATAAACTGTAGCAGCAAGCAAGACTTGTCGTTGTCGCCGTCGCCGTCGTCATCTAGTGACGATGCATCGGATCGAGAGTTCTCACTCAACAGGCAACCGCGTGCCTTGCTGTACGTGCCTTTATACGTTCTGTAACATTCTACACATACCTCTTAGTCTTAGCCTAGACGACACGCAGACCTTTAACTAGTTCGCTCGAAGTTTGTTTCTGAGGACAGTCTGTCACACGACGTGTTCGTGTTTCGGTCTACATTTCTCTTTTTACTAAAAGATATCATCCAATCTCACTGCTACGCATGGTTAACCTATACAGACTGACTATTGCCCCTATTCAACAATGTGCTAGCTCCATATCCAACGCAGTGATGGTTTCGCTAAAATCAACCTTCCAGCGTATTGCACCTGACGCAGGATTTTTCGTACGTATTTATGTTATTCAAACACATTACTTAAACACGGACGCAAAATTGAAATCGCGTCGATCAAACAGATTCTCACTGATCGACTAACAGAGCACAGGTTGCTGTGGCAACATTTTACCACAGAAGCTGCCATGTCCACACACGTGATAGTATCATATTTCCATTCTGTCCACCTTGGCAGATGATTATAGTCTGATGGAAATGGGGGAGGGGTGCAAATGTTACATCATACCTTGTCACAGCCGCAACAGTTGAAAGTTGAACTATATATATCACGCACACGATGGGAGGGAAGTTTGCGGTGGGTGGGGGAGCAGAAACAACTCCCCGTAGGTAAACCCCATGAGGTGCTAATAAGTAGGGGTGGGATGATACAGGTAACTCACGATACAATAAGTATCACCACACTTTCAAAGGAAACTACCTATAGCAAACAATACACCTAACGGGTGCTCTACCGAACCTCTTTCGTTTGAATGTTTAAAAATCAGTACCGCGGAGCGCTAAGTAAACATTCGCTACTGAACTGCGAATTGTGTATTTTTTCTTCTTGTTGTTTCTTTTTATGAATTTTGCTTCTTTTGTTTTCTGATGAAACTAATGTACGGTTTTTATTCAGTAAAGTATCGATACATGTATCGTGAATAGCCGTGAATATATGGATATGTGTACCATCAAGGTTTGTATCGCAATACATAAATATATCGATGAATCTGCCCACCCCTACTAATAGGTCGAGAACAAAAATATAGAATAAAACCCCGAATATACCCAAATGGATGAAGAGTCAGTCAGAACAAAGTGTTGTCATGACAGTCAGTCATTTGTTTGGTGACAATTATTGCTATCATGGGGTAATCACCATGACAGAACTCGCATGCAGTTACGTTACATATATATTTTAAGAACAGGATATTTCACATGAAAATTATCTAAAAAAATATTTAGGAACCTTACTACCTTAGCATAGCTATATATACATATCAGGAGTACATAATAGGGATACTACTCCTGATACATATATAGGCAAACTGGTGCAATATAAATTGGTGCTACCATAGAGGTGCTCAGATACAGCCAAACATCAGACACCAGGCCTCTATAGAAAATGCACCTACCCCTAAATAGTACTATCGTGTTTTTTCTTTATCACCCTCATATTACAGCTTCAACTGTAATACGATATTCGCACAGCAGTGTAGGGCCCTACAGCCTGCTTTGTTGTTTACGCTCACGACATACGTGGCGATTTTTATCGACAGTACCGGCGATAAAAATCGACGGTACTGTCGATGAAAATCGCCACGTGTGCGCCGGGCTTTAGATTCACCCACTCGCTATGACCGGAAGTACTGGTCTGAACTAAGTATAGCGAGCCTATTTGTTCCTTTATATCATTAGAAGCTACATACCGTATAGCATACTATCTCATGACAAAAATGTTTGTGTGTTCTGATCAATATTATAACGCCCACACGCCCACACAGCTGCACGCGCATGGATGTGTACAGAGACACGTACGACCCTTCCTAAACCATCACCCACACAACCCCACACCCCCATGAGTGCAAATGCCGCACCTGGTTTATTCCTCGTGCTCACAAATGACATTTACTTCGATTCACAAGGCGCTGCATGCCGAATAACCAGATATCACCTGACACGAAAATTCGCGAGTGCTCTCTGATCAATACCCCCTATTATATTCGCCCTGCATACACTTTGCACGACGGCAAGAAATGAAATGCATACGTGCGGTCTTGCTGTCTGAAAAGAACCGCCAGACCCCGAACAAAAAAAACAACCCAATGCACATGCAAGAGTGTCACCCGCGCATTTACTAAATGCGCGCGTGCATATAAGACCGGCTCATCAATAATCCAACGACATTTTATTATTTACGCTGTACAAGGTCACAGCCCTGTTCGATAGGAAAGCGTATAGCATCGTACAGCGACCCCGGTAACCCGACAATAAAACACTCATATAACTTCCCATACCTCTAAATATTTAAGGTATTGGCGCTACCTATAATAGGCGTGTTGCAAATGAACGACGACACTGTTGATATTTGTCATCGTGACACCGTCCGTGCATGCCTTCGCCAACGCAACAAATAGTTTGTCCTGTCAGACAGACCTGTCCTGTCAGACAGAACAGATGACAGAAGCATTTGCGAAGCAACTGTCTGTATCATTAAAGTCCACAGCTCCGCACAATCTTGGCTGAGGTACACACGAGTGCAGGCGCGTACACATCGGCAAAACAACCAAAGTGTACGGATGGTGTCTATACTACGCACGCATACATACAATCCGCATGATGCAGAGATCACCTGGCATGTCTGCTAAGAAAAAGGTCTTCCAGAAACAACATGTGTCTCACACAGCATGGACTCAACCATCCCCAATCTAAACTACGGGGACCTCAGTAAATTTTCCCGGAAACATCTGCTAGCTGCTTCCCCACCTCCTATCCCGCCATCTAAGCCAGCGACCTTACCATATTCCCAGCAGGGACGCCCTGTAACCGGCGGGTTAATAACGGCTAGACAGCATGCACTGTCGCGGCTTCGCAATATTGATATGTGGCGTATTACGGCAAGCGGTAATAGAAATGTAAATATTACTTACAAGATATTGGATTTGGTCTCTTCGAGTGGCAAGGAAAGGAATGAGCGCAGTAGCTCTGTGGTACAGGCGGTCTGGCACGCGGCACGTCAGATAGCAGCAACACTGCCGCCAACTGGTGCACTGTAGTTACTCAGCCTGCAACGCAAAACAAACAAACGTTGATGCTAGTCGTGTAGCGCACATTCAAACAATTGCGAAACGGGCGAGAAGTACAGCGTGTGCAGAGTCATATTGGCCGAAATGCAACGATGCCGTTGCCGGTACCTAGCGAAGTTGGCTGTATGCGTGCCATTCGTTTGTAAGCTAAACATGCCGCGACAATAAAATAACCCAATCAGTCCAGATAAGTGCTGCACTCACGCGGTGTGTAAGACACTCAAGTGTCATGTTAACTGCTCCCATCTCCCTAAAGGCTAAACACACATAAACAAGCAACACCTTACATGGACGGACGGTAGCAGATCTACACACGTATGGTTTTCATAACTCCACATGCAGTCACGCAAACCGTTGAATATTGGAGTAATCATTCAGACTCACAGTCAGTCAGAATGATTACTCCAAGGTTGAATGTAACCTGTCTGGGGTGGACAGTGGCAGAGCGCAGCACCTTATTCCCGGAAAGCAAGGTGCACTAATTACTCTATTGGCACTCGGCTATTGTTCTCAGGGTACAGTAGCAAGTTTACCATATTTGCTTGCACTGATTACCACAACATGCTTGTCATAACGTAAACTTCAGATGCGAGATCGGAGTTCGTACGAGAATTTAGGGAAAATGTTATGTTTGTTTAAAAAACGTGTTTTTTGTTTCTAAAGCGCCACTATCTCTAAAGAGATGACAATGTGCTAGTCTGAGACAACATACATGAAGGATTAACTAACAAACAGACATCATTAATTGCGCCTATTCGCCAGCAGGATGGACAACGATTACAGTCTCACCGCAGAAACTAATCAGTGCACGCATTTTTCAGTCAACACGCGTAGATGAGATGCGAGGATCTCGGACAACCCGCCAGCCAGCAGTCTGTCTGCACATTGTGGCTACACCAGCTGCGCAGATTACTCTATCTCACACACTACAAAGCCCCATATTGACCCATCGCGAAGCTCATTTACTCCTAGTCTGCAGATATGAACGCCCGGCTACATACGCAGATACTGATGTCACTCGCAAGTACTTTTGCCGAGCAAGTGTTACCACCAGCACGCAATATAAGAGCCTCACACGCACGCACACATACGCGCACGCACGCAGACACACACATACACACCAAAGTGCGTGCATCTGCTTTCGTACGTACACATAGCTAACCAACCAAGTATTAAAATGCATTCATTAAACACTAAACTAAACAACTTGTAAGAATCTGTGCGCGCACATTTGTCCATCCGACGGACACTAACACGCGCGTTCCTATACCGTAATGCAATACTGTTCCCTCGAACGTTACGCGGCATGTGCCGGGCACAGCCACAATTTCGCTCCGCTGCGTAGCCCCCAACTTTTTACGTAGCCGAAGCACATCTGCAGCGCAATGTGTCTGTCATACAGCCTATAGCAGCAGCTCACCCTGTTCAGACTGCAGCTGTGGGGCAGCGATACCGCCCTATTGAAACGCCATCAGTACGTGCAGACGGCATTTGGCAGCGATAGTGCACTCACTTCTCGGCAAGTTTCGGCTGGTTTGCTTAGGCAGGTGGCCGTAATTAATTGCGAACCAATACTGGGTCAGCTTTATCTCCTGACTTGTTGGCTTTAAAAGCTTTTCACGCGGCTGCTGGAAATTCGGAAGCTACTGCGATGCATACCCACAAGTATGCGGGAATTGCCGGCACTCAACGATCGGAGAAATTCCCTGCGCACCACCTCAGCTGGGTGGCGGAGCAGAAACAACTCCCCGTAGGTAAGCCCCATGAGGTGCTAATAAGTAGGGGTGGGATGGTACAGGTAATCACGATACAATAAGTATCACCACACTTTCAAAGGAAACTACCTATAGCAAACAATACACCTAACGGGTGCTCTACCGAACCTCTTTCGTTTGAATGTTTAAAAATCAGTACCGCGCGAGCGCCTAAGTAAACATTCGCCTACTGAACTGCGAATTGTGTATTTTTCTTCTTGTTGTTTCTTTTTATGAATTTTGCTTCTTTTGTTTTCTGATGAAACAATGTACGGTTTTTATTCAGTAAAGTTATCGATACATGTATCGTGAATAGCCGTGAATATATGCGATATGTGTTACCATCAAGGTTTGTATCGCAATACATAAATATATCGATGAATCTGCCCACTCCTACTAATACGGTCGAGAACAAAATATAGAATAAAAACCCCGAATATACCCAATGCGATGAAGAGTCCAGTCAGAACATAGTGTTGTCATGACAGTCAGTCATTTGTTTGGTGACAATTATTGCTATCATGGGTAATCACCATGACAGAACTCGCATAACCAGTTACGTTACATATATATATTTAAGAACAGGATATTTCACATGAAAATTATCTCAAAAATATTTTAGGAACCTTAGCATAGCTATATATACATATATAGGCAAACAGGTATACGTTACATATATATTTTAAGAACAGGATATTTCACATGAAAATTATCTAAAAAAATATTTAGGAACCTTAGCATAGCTATATATACATATATAGGCAAACTGGTGCAATATAAATTGGTGCTACCATAGAGGTGCTCAGATACAGCCAAACATCAGACACCAGCCTCTATAGAAAATGCCACCTACCTCTAAGAGTACTATCGTGTTTTTTCTTTATCACCCTCATATTACAGCTTCAACTGTATACGATATTCCCGCAGCAG